GGCTTCAGAGAGCTGCCTCTGGTGTCCCGGCATCTGTAACAGGACAAATCTGCTGCCTCGATAAGCCACACTTAGTTAATACTGACTGTTAGTTTGTTAAAGACTATGTAGACTTAGTTTGAATGGAATAAAACCCCCTGAAAATTCTGTTAAGAAAAAAAAAATAACTGGAGGGAGTAAAAAAAAATAATTAAATAAAATTTTACTTTGAGATTTGTGGTTTCTTTTTTACAGACTTTTCTCAAGTTTTGCTGTTCAGTATTTTCTTTGTACTTGTAAGGAAAATAGCACTTAGATTATCGTCAGTTTTAACACAAGGCAAAAACATGACAGAGATTTGTCTTTCAGTGATAAAACTAGCAAATTTGGAACACTTATGATAACCCTGTCTTTGAAAAACATCAGTAAAAAGCGCCCTGAGCTCCATGAACATGTTGCAGACTGCACCACATGTCACATAACTAAGGACTACGATTTTTTGCCTGAGGCTCCCACATTTAACAAAGGGAAACACTGCTTTCAACAAAAGATGCTATTCTAGTTATGTGCCCTTTTACCCTGTCAGAGAAACAGCTGGTATCATAAAGTCACAGCTAATTTGTATCATGTCTGCACTAACAGTCAGATTCAGTTTGTATCAAACTTTCAAAGTTGGACTTAATACCATTTGATGGATGACAGCTTTTTCTTGCCTCCCCCCTTCTCAAAACATTTAAACATTGCCTCCCACATTTAAAAAAAAAAAAAATCAAAATACAAATGGACTCTTTAACATGTTTCACATAACCAGAATAAAATGTTTAAAAAGAGCAAATTTTTTAAAATCCTAAGGAAAAGTAAGAAAATTACTAGCAGTTCTGAAGTTCTGTGACAAACAAATAGTGCTTTAAGGCAGCATTTGGGTACCAAGACTAATGGAAAAGAATTTTCTCTTAAAAAAAACCCCACAACTTACTTGCCTCAGGTAATCCTTTGCAGTTTGGGCTATCTGTTCTCCTAAAAACAATTTCAGTCTGCCTGCAGAGACTTTAAGGGCTTTTTCAAGGTCAACACTCAACAATTTAGGGAAGACCAATTTGACCTTTTTTTTTTAAGGGACCTGTTTCTCATTTATACTATTAAATATCATCTACTTTCATTTTAAGATCCCCGAAGCAGAATGCCTGAACTGTGTAAAGGGACTTTAGTGAAAGTGAGAGTCAGTCCAAAGACTTAATGGCTCCAAACCCCCAACGCTCATGTGAGAAAGAACCGCAAAGATCAGGTTCTTCTTGGAAAACAGTCATGGGGGAACTTCCAGAGATTTGGAGTTCAAGTTCAGTTCAGATAAACATCTAATAGTTCTGGTGCACTTCTGAGTCTGCCCTCCACAGCACCTGAGTCTACAATATCAGCTGGAGACAAGATACCCTTCTGAGATTTCAGCTACTTCCCACTTCCAGACGATCTAGAAGTATTTGACCAAGGCTCTTTCATCACATGATCTGAAAGCATCACCAAAATGTAGGCAAGGAAAACCTCATAACATCCTAGGAAGCAAGGATTTTTTAATGCTGCACAGTATAATGATTGTCAGGATTCTGAAAAATTGGCCCTATTTATCAGAAAGAGATCTGTCTGCTCTGTAAACTTACATACACCAAGTGAACAACACCCCTGGGAAGTTCAAAGCAGTGGTATCAGTAATGCAGTCTTAAAGTGACAGGAGAGCTTATTGTGATGGAGCTGAGAAAGAGCAGTTGTCAATGAAGACTGAAGAATTCCAGCTCCCAGCCTATCTTTCCCTCAGTGCACGCATTTCCTGCCTTAGAAGGTTAATATTGCGCAGAAGACAGAAAGATACAGCTTCTGCTGTGCCTAAACTGTGCTTGGCACTGCTCTCTGATGGACTCCTTGCCAGTGAACAGAGCCAAAGCGCAGCACGCTCCTGCCACATCCTCTCCAGCGAGCTGTATCTGCTCTCTACCTACTGCGAAGATGCAGATATTCAACTCCACTCCCTTCACTCCAAACACAGCAGTGACTCTGCCCCTACATATGATTCTTGTGCTTCTTCAGGTTTTTTTTTTTAATGTTCTTAAACCTCTGTTTGGTGAGGCGTGGTTTATTAGAAGCAGATTTCTCTTCAACTACTCAGTGTGTCGGTTTTACAATTCCTAGGTGCTGTAACTCGTGGAAGATAAAAAAATTTCTTCATCCAAAATTTTGTATGAGTCACAGCAGGTTTACTTGTTTTGGTTCACCCAAATGAAGCATAGCTTTCTATATCTAAATGATGCTCTGGTTTTCTTCGCTTCAGCTGCCTGTTAGCTCGAAATTCCTTACAAGCAATAAAACTTTTTCTAGCAAATGATTCCCACCAACTGGGACATCACATTTTCATGGGACTGTGAATTGCATCAGGAAGACCACCACTACTACTGCCTAAGTTTGATCCCCTGGTATTGAACTAAACAAAACTCCAAACCGTTGCCTTTAACACCTCTTCAGGAACGCAACACAAAACAAAAACCATGAGGTTATCTCTCACAAAAGAGCTTTTACCAAAAAGTGCCCAGGCTGCATGTAGAGGCCACCTGAAGTCCCAGAAGTTACAGGGAAACTCGGGCAAGATGAGATGCTGCACCTCCTCTTCAAGCAGCAGATGACAGAAGGAAGACCCTATGCTCATCTCAGTTTAATTCATCACAATAAAGCCACAGAAAAAATGCCTTTAGAGACTCCGCAGAAATGTTTTCAGTCTTGAATATTTAAGAGAAAAGCTGACCAAAACCTTTCTTGCACAATCTTTCCTAATGGAAAACATCTTGACTTTAACAAAATGTATGTTTCCAAGGAAGATAAAAAACAACCATTCACCAGCCAGTGACTTTGAACCTTAACCTTATAGGGTATCACTTATTTTTTAAATTAATTTATATAAAGATGTCTCAGATTGTTTTCCAAAGTCAGATTTGCCTGTATTCAAGAATAAACAGAAGAGTTACAGGATTGTCATGATAACACTAAACTATATTACTGATTTTTATATTCAGAGGGATGTGCCTTGTTTCCAGTACTTTACGGAGATAATGCTTTTTTTTTTCCTTTCCAAGTGAATGTATTGGTCCACACCATTTGCTTTAGTGATTTTCTGAAGGTAGCCTTTTTCACAGTATTTTCATTCATGTTCCCTAAAGACCATCCTCCTATTCATCCAGCTTTACAATGTGAAAGAAGAAGTAAGTGTGGAAAGCATTATCAGATTTTGCCTTTCCTTCTTCCTGACAGAATTCTTTCATCACTTTGGCAAGTGCTGTGGAAGCACCACAGGGACTTCAGCATGAGGCAGATGACACTCACCCTGAGTCCTACACTTGGAGTAGATGAATGAGTCCCTGAAGGACAGATTTACAGATGCAATTTATGCATCAAAATAAGGCACCAGCACCAGCTCAGAAATACACTGAAGCACAGTCTCAGTTTTGAGGGACTGAAGTGCCTTTTTTTAACACCACAGTCTGTATGCTCAGACATGCCTACAGATACAACTCCAGCTGCTGAGCTAGCTATCAGAAAAACTCCAGAGGGCAGTCACTGCTCTCTTTGAATATCCTAAGCACAGAGGGAGAACACTTGCATTTCTGATCCCATTTCCTTTTGGACACTATGGGCTCCCTCTCCTTGGGTCAAATTTTTAAGGAATTTATGTCTCTCTTAAATGCACCGCCCAAGGAAGCACACTGGAACTTAAATTCAGTGATCTTACTGGAAGAAGTGTTTCATGGGAAATTTTAGAACATTTAGGCTGCTTCTGAATCAGAACAAAATCCTAATTTTTGAAATCTCCTACAAACTGAGAATCCCAGATTGTATCTGGCTTCAGCCTTGAATGCTGCCCCCACAAAGGCTCAAAAGTGATGCAGAACTCAAAAACGGCAACCAGGGCAGAGAACAGCCTGCAACTATTACCAGCCCATTCAGCACTTGCACAAACCTCAGAAGTGTAGGCTTTCCCAAGAACAACAAAAACAGATAAAATGGTCCCAGACCCAGCATTCCTGATTGGGGGAAGGCTACTGGAGATGAAAGACAATGCAACCAATGTTCAGCCTTCCACCATGTCTCTGTCCTTCTCCACACTGCTCTTGCCAAAAAGAGAGGGAATAGAGCAGAGGTACAGAGGAGGTCCAGGCAGACAGAGAACATGGTCACTCATCAGTGAGAATAAGCAGCTCTCTGTGCCCTCAATTAACTGAAGATGATGGTATCTAAGGGAGTTGCCTTGACCCTAGTGCAGTATTTCCGACCCCATCAGTTTGCTGTCACTGCTTAAACTTAGAGCTAGTCCTCAGTTTGTCTCTATCTGGAATTTCTGTATATTGAGGGGCTAAAGTTTACGCACACTATAAGCACTTCTCTTAAATGGTTTGTGAGCCCTCACTTGTTCTGGCAGTGAAAGAAAAATGTAAAACATGTCTTACATGTTGTAAATAGTCAGTAAACACAGTTACTTGGACTCTCTCAGACTCCTCAGAGCCTGCTTGCTCTATAAAGAACAGAAGACACAGCAGGACAGTAACACACCAGCACATGATCTTAACACAAGTAAATCTGATTTAAGACTCCCATTGAAAGCAAAAACCTTGCTGAAATCCAGCAGAGAAATAAAAAAAAGCTATTAAAAGAATGGCCATACACCCACAAAATGATTACTATAAAAATCAAAGATTTTGATTTAAAGATAAAATCCAAGATAACATCATTTTAAACTACTACCAGATTTGAAGAAATTAACCTCTGGTGACAGCAGTCCCAGAGAAATGGGAGTCAAGAGTCTGACTGCAGGGGTGTCCACTGATTTTGAGAGGGCTTTAGCTCAGCCCCCCAAAGATGCAAGCTAGAATCCCTAGGGGGAAAAAAAAATCAATATAAAAAGGCCCAATACAAAAAAGCCTGATACAGAAAAACCTTCTGACCACCACAGGCAAGGAAGAGGTAAGTACTTTGATCATACTCACAGGAAGGCAATCAGAGGAAATATTCTGAGCTTTTCAGTAACAAACCAGGTGCTAATGGATTCAAAATGATGACTCCAGAAAATAGAGGTGATCTCTGTACAGAAATAGAAAATAAAGAACATTCTTTAGTAATGGCATAATTGTTGCACACTTTTTTTCCTTCAGTAAGGTCTTCTTTAACAATGTTAAGGTTTTTTTTAAAGTATGGAATAGAACTAATATTTTGCAAGACACTGACAAAGCCCACTATCAACAGCTCTATAAATTAAGAGTTTGACAAAGCAGACTTTGATCTCCCAAAATCTCTCACCAAAGTCACAAAAATGTCTTTAAGAAGTGAAGCTGATACAGGCCCCTTTTAGGTACTGGAAGGCCACTACAAGGTCTCCCTGAAGCTTTCTCTTCTCCAGGCTGAACAACCCCAACTCTTTCAGCCTGCCCTTGTATGGGAGGTGCTCCAGCCCTCTGACCATCTTTGTGGCTCTCCTCCAAACTCACTCCAACAGGTCCAGGTCTTTCTTATGTTGGGGGCCCCACACCTGACCACACTACTCCAGGTTGGGTCTCACGAGAGCAGAGGGAGAGAGTCACCTCCTTCGACCTGCTGGTCACGCTTCTTTTGATGCAGGCCAGGATCCAGTAGGCTTTCTGGGCTGCAAGCACTCGCTGACAAGCCACGTCAAGCTTCTCAATATATGACATGACAGTCTGGATGTGACCTCTAGCTTAGAAGGTCCCAAAGCAAAGATTGCCAGACTTTGGGAGAGCACATAAAAAGCCATTCCACACTCATCTGCTTTCACTTGCTTTACCATAAGTGACTGTCTCAGTGCCTCAGTCAGAGACAGGATACTAACCTAGGTGGACCATTGTTTTGACCCAGCATAAAAACAATTCTATAAGTGGCACAAATGATGTGCCACTCTTATACAAAGACAGGACAAGAATTTATGAGTGATCTAGTAGAAACTCATAACAGATACCAGGAAATACAGTAAAAATGAACGTCATTGAAAAGGTGTATTTTTTCCCTGAAGGCTCATTCTGCATTCAGCTACCACTTGGTAGTCTACAAACTAAACTTTCTTCAGAGCACCTCATATGGTCCATTCCCCTTAGGCCCAAGGACCTTCTTCCAGAATATTCAGGTGCCAAGAGAGGAAATGGATTATTTAAAAATCACTGAAGCAAATTTTCAGTAATTTAAGATCATAGTGTGGGGCCATTACTTGCATTAATTTCTGGTTATTCACTGGAAACTCACGGATTTTTGAGGACTCTTGATGTAAATGAATATTCAGCAATTTCAAAAGCAATTTTACAGTCTGGTCGCTAAGTTTTATAGACACCTGTCAGTGATTTATATTATTGAAATTTTTGTAGTGACCAAAGCCAAGACTTTGATTCATTCCATTAGAAGTTTCAGCATTAGATTCAAGAGAGATCTCAATCCCATTTGATGCTTAGTGTTACTATGTTATGTTATTATGCCTATCTCATATAGCAGACAAGAGCAATGTAAGAGGACATCCCTAGTCATGAAGGTCTGAAAAGAGCAACCAAGAGCTTCAAGTCATCTTTCTCTCACTGGTTACTCCTGCTTACAGTGAGAGCAGGCTGGGCTCTATCAGTCCACAGAGCTCCAGTTCTTGAATAGCATGAAAGTCCTTCCAGGTCACTGAATTCATTCAAACTTTTTCACTAACTTGAAAAGCTGACTTTGCCCACTTCTATTGTTTATTGTGCCTCACTCGACTCTCAGCAGGCATAACTTCATGACATTCAGATCATGCGTTAAGAGGATCCTGGGTCTAAAAGCCTTTTTTCTGCTTCAGACCATTTGCTCACTTTCAATCTCTTTAAGATTTTTTTTTTAATGGATACAATCTCCAAAACATTTTCTTTTTCTTTCCCACAGTCACAAAGCCCTCTTCTGCTATTCTCCTTGTATTTGCTCTGTCCTAAAGGAACATTTTTCTGAATTGAACTCAACATAATTTCTAATATCAATAAAATTACTGAAATATGCTCTCTCACTATTTGCTATCCGAAAGAACCTCTATCACACCACAATTCCGTTGTGAGCTGACTATGAAGGGCTAAGTACAAATTAACAAACAAGAAATGTCCACACAACTTAAGCATGAAAGAAGTTCAGGTCCAGGTCTAAAACCAGCCTCCATAAATCTAAACCCTCCAATCCAAGAAACATCACTAGGGTTTGGACTGTAATCTTCAGTGGTAAAATTGGCACAATTTTTACTGATTCTTCAGTCCTTCAAATTCCCCTGACCATAAACATTGGGTTCATGTTCTGCTCTCATTCATGCAATGGCATTAACAGTGTTGTAGACCTAGGCACACACCCAGCACTGCACATTCAAGCAGAGTGGAACTCGATTTCCAGCTAACATAGGTACTAGATTCTCAGATAATGTAGGTCAGTATCCATTAAATGCAATTTTAATAACAGAAATGCTTTTATCAGAAGTACTTTGTGGCTTAGTTACTATCTTGATTACGGAAACTGGGGAAATCAAATCACATCTAAGGTCATTCAGAAGTTGACCTGTGACATTTAGATGTGTTCTTTTGATGAAAAGTATATGCACGCACAAAGAATAGCACAATTTCACTCCCTTACACTCTGTTAATGAATTTGGTTCCATTATACCAGGTATCTTTGAATAGAAATAAAGTTATCGAGCCCAGTTACCAAACCTACATGCTGCAGGTGCACCATTTTATCCAATAGCTTAACAGCTATGGCTGTGACAGGGTTCAAATCTCATCTCTTCTTGCAGGGATTTTAGCCTACATCTTCCAAAGGACACTCTAGCACTGGGATGTTCTTACACATTCTTTCCTACCAGTGCTGATGCTAAGAGTATAAGGGGAACTGTAACACACTAGACTAAAGTTTTGACTAGCTCCGTGTCCTGTCTCCAACAGTGGTCAATACCAGATGTTTAGGGTAGAGCATAAGAACAGGGAAAGCATATAATGATACTTCCCACAAATACTCTGCAACAGCTTGTGACTTCCAGAATGCCTGAGTCAAAGGTGGAATCTGTGTATTCACTGATCTCCATAGCAGCTTTTTTCCATTATTATTTGCAGTAGCTGCCAACACTCATCAAAATCCTATAACAGAGAGTCCCACAGCTTAATTACGTGCTATGTGAAGATATAGTTCACTTTGGACAAGTAATTAAACCTTCAAACTGACACTAGGACTCAGCTATGCCACTTCCCAACTGAAGACTCACTCACTAATGCACAGTTAGGTGTGGTATGGACATAGGAAGTATTCTTCATTGCATCAGATATAATGGAGCAATCCCAAATTATCCAACAGCAAAGTGGTTAAGAAGATGTTTTGGAAATAGCACACCTGGGTTTCAGTCACAATTACATACTTAATCATGTAGGAAAGTAAAATAACATCAGTAGGAGAGAGTGGGAACACCATAAAGAATAGTTGGAGAGTGCACTTTACAGTTCTTTCAGATAAAGAGGGTGACACGGTCTACCTACCGGGTTCTGAGTTAGTAATCTATTAGATAAAAGAAGGATTCTTTGTCCAATCTTTAAAAATAGCAAATCATTTCACAGAATCACAGAAGAGTTTCAGGCTGAATGGCACCTCTGTAGATCATCTAATCCAATCCCCTGCTCAGAGCAAGCAGCCCAGGATCACACCCAGTCGTGGTTTGAATATCTCCAAGGATGAAGATTTCACAGCCTCCCTGGGAAATCTGTTCCAGTGTTGATCACTTACAGTAATAAAG